CAGTTCCTTGACATAAAGATTAAAGAGTGTGGGCGAACTTAACCCTCCCTGTCTCACGCTACACTCCAATCCGTAAGGTTCCGATAATAGCCCTGCCCACCCGCACTTGGTTGATCCGATTCCCGGACCAATGTTTAAAGGTACTAATTTTCTCAGGAGGTGCTTTTGATTTTTCTAAATCAATCCACAGAATATTGTAGGAAACCAGATCAAAAGCTTTGGAAAGGTCAAGAAAGCGTAGAAGGCGTAATACTTGACTGTCCAGTTCAGATACAGAACAGGTATATTTATTTGTAAATACATACATGCATACTATAGATACATTACATACCAGAATAAACGGATGTTACATACAATCATTTGTTCTGGGTGGGAATCGAACCGTCGACCTGTGGCTAAGCAGTCAGAATTACTAACAACGAGATCAATATGTAATTAATGTATAAATATGCATTTTATCTAACCTCTACTTAAAAAACAATGTTATCCATAATAATTCACAGTGAACAATGATATGTGCTAAATAATATTGTAACCTTTACAAGACCGTAAAAAGCTTTTGTTAGTCTTTGTTTCCAAAATTCTCTTTTTTTGTGATTATAAAATTTCAAATCTGTAATTTAAAAAGATGGGAATTAACGTTTTAACGATTATATTTTTTTTTTATGGACCAGGGGACAAACGAGAAGACAACCCCGCACAACCAATCTGTGGAACGGGACCGGCCCGGCAACGCGTTTGTGACTTCTCCATCCTCATGTGGTGACCTGTCTGCTCTTCTGCCCCCTCTAATTGAAAAAAAAAAAAGAAAAAAACCGTGGTCACACTCCAGTCTAGCCGGACCATTTGTGCCGAATTGCTCACCCATGTGTAAGGGGCCATCCATAAATTATGTATCATACACGAATTATCTTATACACGAATTTCATGGTTTTTTGACACCCACCCCCGTCCTTGTACACATATGGTCACATTTGTGAGCCCTTCCCCGCTTACCCTTAGTAGTAGACATCACATAGTTTGCTCTAGAAATTGTTAAATTAAAATAGCAGTGCCAAAATTAGTTTTATTACCATTTAAGTCATTTTTAATAAAATAGGTATTGCAAAATTAACAAAACAATGATTTCGCGTTTTAATACTTAGATATATTAGGGTTTAAAATGTGACGTTACAAATCTTAGGACCCTTCAATCCCCTTGTCACACACTGTCACACTTCGCCGAACCCCCCTCCCCCGCCACTCTTAATGTGTGACGTGATGGCTTGCCTTACGTGTCGACCAGGCGTGGTCTGGCCGTGGTCACGGGTAGCTTCAAATATGTAGAATGTAATGTGTTGTTGTTCCTGGCAAGAGTATCTCGTATTGGCTATATGGTTTGGCTATATTGGAACTTTATTTTTTCTAATAACTGTAGGGGTCCATGTACAAAGGGACTACATACATTGCAAATGCAGTCCTATCCCGTTCATTATCTATATTATATCTCATTAATTCAGAGCTTGATCAGGTGAGCTAAACTTTTATGCTGGAGTTTTGATGTCATTTTATAAAATTTATTACATGTAGTCACAAAAAGTAATAAATGCAATGTACAAATAACCTATCAAGCATAAAAAAAATGTTAACTATCCCTTGAGGATAACATTTTTCTAGGTTTGAATAGACTTAGCATGTATGTAATGGAAATCTTAAGATATTTTCATCTGTAAGGATAGGAAATATAAATTACAATAAAGACAACTGTTTTAACACGATACACGAATTTGATAAGATACAAGTTTGTTGACATTATTGAAAGTATTGATCAATCTCCAAATGGACGGTTTTGATTTGATTATCAGCGTGTTATCAGTTCTAAGCCATGGCGATTAATTAAAAAATACAAACTCAACAAACATAAAGAAATTGTATTCCATCTTTCTTTAGAATAAAACAAAGCAATAAAAAACTGTCCGAGTGGATTAAGAATACAGTGTCATCATCAATATTCATCCTGTGGGTGTCGTAAGAGCCGACTAAGGGAGCAAACTACGCAGGACAACAGCACTGCAAAGAGAAGGAAAACTTGAAACAAACTCTATACCAACCTGTCTGGCCTGGGTAGAGAGGGCCAAAACCTCATTTCTAAGAAGAGGCTTATATCCAGCAGTGGATTATTAAAGGCTGTTGATGATGATGATGATTAAAAAAAAGGATGGTAAGTTTAATTTCCAAAGCGCTGATATTCTTGTTAGCTTTTTGAGGTTGATTTTCAGTCACATACGTCCATCCTTATAAGTGTGAAAGTGAGTTTGTTTGTAGGTTTGTTTTGCTTTCACGCCTTAATCACTAAACCAATTTTAAAAATTCTTTTACCAATGCAAAAGCTACAAATTCAGGGAGTAACATAGGCTACTTTTTACTCATAACGATAATGGAAATGGCAGAAGCGCGTGAAAAAGCTAGTTTGTAATAATAGTATTGTATTTCAATGATATTGTCCATAATTGACCCCAAGATTTTTGAAGTCTGGTAATCTGAAGTAATCCATACATAAATGGTAAATGGTCTGGTATACTAACCATCGTCTTCTGCCATAGTGTTAGTATAGTAGGGTTGTATGTGACAACCCTACTAACAGAGGTAAGGCAAAGGTATAAAAAAATAACCAAGTTAGCCAGTTACTTGATCAATCAATCACTTAATGTAATATTATATCCTAGATGCCTTTACAAATGAACCTATTGGTACTGTAGATGAAAGTATATGTGGAACAGGAAATAATAATGTGCTGTTAGCTGGGTGAGCCTGCCAAGCTTCTTCCAGAAGCGAAGAAAGAGACCTTCCAGGAAGGGGAGCCCTTTCTACTGCTTAAAGGCATCCCCTGCAAAGAGGATTGTCTGTTGCATTAATAATGAATAGTTGTTGGTTCAGGGCTAGGTATGCTGTTATAGTTGCTACAACTCTGTTATAGTTGCTACAACTATTCGAATGTCTAGTCTGCTGAGACTAATCAGTCTGCAGGTGAGTAGTGGTGTGACTTCAGTCAGCATCAGTTTGGACTGTCTGCAGCTGGGTGAATTTTTCGCACTGCTTGCATCACGAGTCCATCGTCTGGCCCAGGATCAAAGTTGGTTAAAAGGTAAAATTAGCCGAGGTTGCCGAGCCCTCCTTGCCAACTCATCTGCGGCGTCGTACCCGTGTGAGTTACTAAGCCTATTATTCCATTGTATTAGTACCCCATTCAATGTGGCAAGCTGCTCCAATGCTTGATGGCTTTCAAAGACAATACGAGAGGTCATTAAGTTGCCACGGCCGTTGTGGTGGTATGTTATTTTTATTTATTTTACACTTTCTGCCTATTTATAATGGTGTGTGGCTCTGTTCTCTGCCACCAGACAGTAGCACTGTAAGTGATTATTGGTCTTATGAGTGTTCTGTAGAGCCATATTGTAACCTTTGGTGATAGCCCCCAGCTTTTGCCCAGTAGCTGTTTACATTGGCAGACATATTACATTACAACAAGAGGTATTGTAGAATAATGTCAATCATCAAAGGAATCACCAACAAAAACACGAACAAGACTGGCATGCAAAATACCGAACATTATAACCATAATATTAAAAGTAAGGGCTTGTGGCTAAGTGGTAACTGAGTAGGTTAACACATAAGAAAGTTAAGCAATTCTAGCCAAGTCTATGAGTAGGTGACCATTTCTTAATATATTGACAACCCTCCGTGCCTCGGAAAGCATGCAAGTCATTGGTCCTGGTTGCCATATGAACATCTGGCAATCTTTACGGGTAGTTGGAGGCCTAAATAGTCCAACAACAGTATTACTACAAAATTTTGATATTGCCTACTAGGGTTGTTGAGGTCTGGATGGACGGCAGTTGCTCCATGTAAAAAATTGAAGTTAAGTCATATTGTAGTAGATTAGGCTAGGAGGAAAATCACCATAATAATAACTTCTCACCTCTTACACACAGCGGTCTGATTTTATTATATTTAGATTAATTAGACCATGTTAATATTTAGAATTTCAATACAATAATAATTGTTTTTAAAATAAATGAAAATAAAAAGAGTCCAAACTAGGCAGAGCATGTGGTATGGTACCGGACTGCTGATAAACATACTTAAAAAAATTTGAATACATACTCATTTTAGATAAATTACATCCAGACACAACAAATTTAATGATCATACTCATCACAAAATTATTTGTTCTAGGTGGGGATGGAACCCACAACCTCTAGTTTAGCAGTTAGGGTCACTAACCACCAGATCAATAGGCCTGTCAATCGTCATCATAACTGTCTAAACTTAACTATTGTAAATATATAAAAAACTGGTAAGAATAATTCAAATGTGTATTAGAATATTACCAAACCAGTGTGATATAAGTTATTATTAAAATTTGGTTTATTTTAATGTGTTATAATATTTCTTAGTCTTAGTCTAACTGCTTGGCATAAGCTCTGTTATGTAAAAAACTTGTAATATCAATCAATTCACATTATGAAGTCATAAATACAACAATATATATGAGTATTGTTTCTCATTAAAAAGAAATGTACATATCTAATTGAAACATATTTGTTTGTTTCCAACAATGTGGCCTCTTGGCCAAGATTATTTTAACCTCATTATTATAAATTTGATACAGATAACATAACAATACAGCAGGAATACCACAAACATCTGCAGTTGTTTCTAAATTTAAATTATTGTTATTATCTCTTATCACTTCTATGATTATTAACCCATTCAGTCTCACTTACATAAAAATATTACTGCATTGTAAACATAATTAACATAAACAGGAACAGATCCATTACGACGTAGTATCCGTTGGCTACAATTTTTTAGGAATCATTTCAATTGAAAAAATGCGCGTATTACTACGAAATATATAGACCTGTTACATGTTTCTCTTCGCAAACTCTACATACTGAAGTACAATATTCAATTAAGGTTCTTGTGATGAAAACAATCTAAATGTGTTTATTACTCACCTAAAATTGGATACCATAGTCCCATACACACAAAATATAGAACAAGTGCCGCGGGATAGTTCCCGATGGTGGAACCCATTGTCATGGCGGAAGCACCTCGTTTTTACATACGGTATGCACAATAGCAGGATATCAAAGTCATCGCACAGAAATTATACCATCTTCTATGTACTTGTACAACGATAGCAATGATTATTTCTATAATTATCACACAAAATTACAAAGCGGCTGACACCCAAAGCCGAACAAACAATTCTACTGCCAGGGTTACCAGGCTGAATTTTAAAGTGCCTTAAATATAAAACCGTTTCGGCTTAGGTCAATCACAAAAATTAAGCATTTGATAAATTGGTACATAATTAAATTGAAAAGTTAAAATACGATTAAAATAAAGAAAAAAATATATAATAAGTAAGATGAGTGTGAAGTGTGTTTAACTTATCGCTGCATCAGTGAAATAAAGAGGAGTACGCTCTCCATAACTAAACAAAAGTGTCATTAATATTTTTTATGTCATTGAGGATATTCCTAATTTATAGTCAACTTGTGCAAAACGTTATTTTAATAAAAAAAAAGTGTGTGTGTGCAATTCACACACGGCAGAAGTGAAATTTCCGATTTTCTTTTTTATCTCAGTAAAAACCTATCGAAGTTTGCACGGCCCGGGAAGCGAACTCACTAAGGCAGCGTTTTTAAAATTCCACGCTAACGAAGTCACGGGTACCAGCTAGTATTAAATAAAAAGAAAAAAATATTCACACTGTCAAAATATTTTATTAAAAATAATGTGTAATGTTCTGTCTCATTCCTTCGCAGACTTAATCTTTTACATTTATGTGTCTGTTTCTTTATCGTAACGTATTTTCGTTTCATCGAATCTCAAATCACAACGATAATAAAGAAGCTTCACTTCAAAAAGTTATAATCTATAATAAACAAAACTGTAGTTATCATTATACAAAGAGTCAGTCGATAATAGGTAATAAGTAGTTCATATGTCATTTTTGATTAGATTGTCAGAAGTGTTTTTTTTTGCAGTAGCAATACAATAAAATCATAGACAAGAAATTAAAGAGCACCAGTAATACCTGTAGCACAGGTAATCTGTGACCTGTAGATAGACCTGGCAAATATATTTATAGTCAAACCGCCGTAAGCTTGGCCCTCCCAATGGTTTGCAGTATGCGGGGCGGGGGTCAACCAATTAGCTAGTGCGTCGCTGTCGGCCGGCAGGGACTGACGTGAAAGCATGGGTGAACGTGTTATTTTTCTTAAGACTACTACATACGGTATTATTTTGCAACATGGATAATCTGCCGACTCTGCGTCACAAAAAGATTGACGATCATTTGGATTAATTTTTATTTTTTTTAATAAACTTTTCCTTTTGTTTTTTATTATAAGTTACTTGGTTAATATACAGTAGAAGTTGTCGATTGTCCGTGTGGTGACGGATTAAGAATACCATTTATTACCACCCATATTCACCCCGTGGGTGTCTTAAGAGCCGACTAAGGGAGCAAATTACGCAGGACAACAGCACTGCAAAGAGAAGGAAAACTTGAAACAAACCATTATAAAAACAACACTATACAAACCAAACAAGACACTATAATACATGGAAATAAATTCAATTTTTATTACATCGTGTGTAGATTAAAGCTCTAACAAATCAATCTAAAGATATCGAGTTAGTACATCGGAAGGGCCAAGCTTACGGTGGTTTGACTATAGATATTATGTATATATATATATATATATATATATATATATATATATATATATATATATATATGTATATATATTTATATGTATAATTTTTGCTTAAATCATATACATATTTATATATATGATTTAAGCAAAAAATTAAGGGAATAGGAAATAAGTCCCTGAAAGTTATATTTTCACAATTTTTATGTTAAAAATAAAGATTTTACCATACATACATCTACATAGACCTGTGTGTCTAAGTAAACTATAAATCTTTAAGACTAACAGTCTGTCTCTTCGACATTTATGTGATTACTGATAGAAATTCAGTTTATTGGATGAAAAGATGTTTTCATTTTTCTCAACAAAATGACTACCAAAAATGGTAGAAATAAAAAAGTATACATATAGCAACATTAGTTGTTTATTGACATGACGAATGACAGACGGCGGGGTCTCCTTCGATGGCAGCTTGATTGATACAATTTAGACAAATTAAATGACTCGCTGAGGAGATTATTTCCGTTCTTAACCGATAACAAAGTGAAAATGTGCTTTATAAATACTGTTTAGGTGATTAGCGCGCTTTATTTGCGTGCGTATTGTGTTAATAAAATGTATGTTCATTACACGTTAGGAGCCATTTTTATTGTATTTATTTTGTGCGTTCATTGTGATAATGTAGCCAACGACAACGAAATCAGGGAGATTTACGGTGAGTTTCTTGTGATTACTTCTATTTTGGCATATAAATGAACAGTGCTATTCATGTTAGTTGTCTAATACTTACTGAAATACCAACTATGTATCTATATGCCAGACCGCCCACAGTGTGCTATGGTTTGCTTAGTACAAGAATGACTCGGTATTGTATAAAAACCTCCGGTATTTATATTTAGATTAACATAATTACTTACGTATACACTATTTGTATTTACTAATAATGTTACTTACACATTTTTATGTGAATATTCCTTATCTAATGAACTGATGATGACTATAATATATTTACAACACACCAACTGCACAAAGATTACAGTGAATATATTGCCAAGTTTGATCCAGAAGTTCAAGTTCACTTGGAAAACCGATTTTATAAAGTATCAAATATGAAAAAAAAGTCCAATTAGAGAATGATTGTTGTTGATAATGATGATGTTCTAATAGTCAAACTATTATATCATATAAAGTTAGACAAAGCATTCTAGAAACAGCATTGTTTTCTATAGTTGAATGACATAAGCCTGTTACAATTGAATCGGACTATTTACTTTAGTGTAACCTATTAGCTTAGTACAATGTGTATACAATCTTTGTGTACTAAATTAAGAGACCATTATTGTAGTCAAAGTCCCCGGCGACAGGATATATTCCTAATGTGGAAGTTGTCTTAAAAATTTAAAAAATAATTGTAACGCCTATAGCATAAGTGTAATTGCTTGTATGTGTGTGTCTGTCTATGGCATCATAGATTTTAAAAGGATTTATTGATTTTTAAATAATTATGTAAATATGGTCTTACATACTCTTGAATTGCTTAACATTAATTTAATATTTGCTAGTGTGTGTAAGAAGAAAAAAAAACTCTAAATCAGTATGATGATGACCAGCTTGTTTCTAATTATTGTAGGGATTTTAGAGTCTGAGGTATTTTAAATTTCATTTTTTTGCTTGTTTAAATATTTCTTATTGGTTTACAATTAGACCTAGAAGGAAGTGTATGAGATAAATGACTTTAATCTTAAACATCAACTGTTTACAATCATATTATTGCTGGTCACTTGCTGAAAACTATCTTCAGTAGCTAAAAAAACAGCTGATTATTTGAATGTCACATGGTCACACTGTGAGACATTTATACACGTGTTTAATGACACAACAAAGCTGACTGCCAAACTTTGTTAATCAAAGAGGCATTTGAAAAAGAATGACATAGCATTTATTTCTTTTTCTCTTTTTTTATTTCTAGTGTCTCAGTTAATATTTTTTCCAGTACATAATAATGTACTACATGGGATTCTAAGTCCAGCTGGTGTTCATCTGATCCTAAACTAGGTAGAACTCGTACAATAGCAACCAGACTGCCGATTAAAAAAATACACTCAGGTACATGATCATGCTCATCACATAAATATTTGTGATGACTGAGAATCAAACTGACAACCTTTGGCTCAGCTGACAGGATCAAAAGTGATTTACTTATATAATCTTAAAGAAGAAATGAACACAGCTGAAGCTTTATTATCACAATAATGACAAGCCATTAGGTATTTAGATAACATTTTGTAGTGGTTTTGATTGTAAACATAAATATTATTATTTCGGTTTATTGATAAATCAATTTATCAGTGTTTTGTTTAGTGCAAAACAAGTATAATGCTGGTATGAAAGTGATGTTCGCTACTATATCTATAGCTTAGCTTATTCTTTTCTTAAGAAATCTCCCATACTCATTACTATTTAACTTACATTGCTTTTTATTGAGTGAGTGAGGTTATCGTATATTCAACCTCCTAATTCCCATTCATTCTTCACTCAATTGGCAGCAAAGCACTTGTGTAAAATGTAAAATGAATGATAAATAAAGAGAGCACCAAAATATTAAATGCGAATCATATAATATGTATGTCTATATACACAGCTCCTAAACGAACAGCTATTATATTAACAGCTCTTAAACAAACACCTATTACATTAACAGCTCGTAAACAAACACCCACTGTCAAATCTTTGCATAGCTTACATGATGAAAAATTATTTGTACTTAATAGTTAAGAGCAAAGTTCAACCACTTTTGACGAATCTGGAAGATCTATGATTTTTTTTGTTGGCTTTCTAATGTAATTGAAGGTTAATGTTGGGAATGTTACAATTTCCCCGTAGCAGACATACCTCCGCAACACCAACGGTCCATCCATTTCAGTGTTACATCAAGTATGGCACACCTGTGGCCATAGTATGACTAACATATCCTCGACGAAGTTGACAAGCAGTTTACTGATTACATCAATATATAACATGAACTGCATGTTGGCGGCTCTTTTATAAATGTAAAGTGATTTTGGTGATTTTTATGGGAAATAGTTAAAAGTAATATAAATCTATAATAGACAATTTGATAAGCTTCTTCAAGTGTCCTCTTCATTGAAATGAGAATATGGTGTTCGTAACATACCACAAGTACACCGCATTTAGCAAAGATACCCCAAACTACGTAGTCACTACTTTTTCTGTTTCGCGTAATAAAACTTCTCGTACTGATTTGTAGATAATAAAAAAAAATAACAGATAATAAAAAACAACTTCTTCGGACTAAAACTGATGCTGCGACCTGACAAGGTTGATCATCTAGCTTTTCATGAGTTTTTTCTTGATTGAATTGACTTTCATCTGTACCTACAGGTGCCTAATGATGGTATTTCTTCAATCCATTGTGCTTTTATGTAACTTAAGTGTTTAACCGACATACTTAAAGCTCGGTCGGGAAGCGGCGTTTACATTTACTACCCATCCATAAATTTACCGTATTTGATATTACTTAACCCCTATCCGTTTTCTAATCATTGAGTGCCACTCACTTCAAGTCATTCCAATTCGTATTAACGTCTGCTGAACAGTTATAATGAGTTCCTATTGCTCTCGTCTAAAATGAAGTTAACATGTCAAACATTCTACATGACTCATCTAATTGGTCGTACTTTTATTGCCTTGGAGGTGATAACATCTTTTTATAACGTTTCAGTTTTTTTTTAAATACGCTCACGGCGTAGTCCCTAGGCAGAGGCGTAATATACGCCCACATTTTGCAGACAAACATCTATATAATATGGATACTTCGAAAAGCCGAGTCATTTTTGAATACGAGTTCCGATGCTGAACTAACGCGCCAGAAACATCGCAATATCAGCGCTGCGTTTGGAGAGAAGACTGCTAATGAACACACCGTGCGCCTATTGGTTTAAACGCTTTCGTAATAGAAACTTCGACTTGAAGAATAAACCACGTGGAAGACCGCCCACACGACAATAACGCTGAATAAGAAAGAGAGATGGTGGAAGCCGATCCGAGGCTCACGCTACCCAGGAATTAGCGGCATGGTTTAACTTTACTCTACCTACAATATTGACTCATTTGTATCAAATCAAAATTGGATTTTTTACCCACTAAAAAGTTGTCTAAATTTTGGAAAAAGTAATAGTCGTTAGGTGCAAGGTCTGGGGGTCACATCTGCAACCAGCTTTGGTCAATCGGTCGTACCCACTGCTCCTTCACGACAACGCGCGACCCCATACTGCGCAACAGACTAGTCTCCAAGCTGCAAGAGCTGGAAGCTGGGGTTGGAAGCTCTCCCTCATCCGCCATACTCACCAGACCTTGCACCTACCGACTATTACTTTTTCCAAAATATAGACAACTTTTTAGTGGGTAAAAAATTCAATTCCCGAGAGGCAGTACAAAATGCCTTTGAAGAGTTTGTTGCCTCCCGTCCAGCTGATTTTTACAAGAAGGGCATCAATAAACTGCCAATGCGTTGGCAAAGATGCATCGATTGCATGGGTGATTACTTCGAATAACAGATTTAAAAAAGATTGAAAAAATAAGTACTTTCACTTATTGCATACAAAACGGCAATTTCATGGGTAAAGACCTAATATTATATAAAAGAAGAAACTGAGAGTCTGATACACTGACTGATCGACCTACGCACAGCTGAAACCGCTGGGTCTAGAAGCATGGAATTTCGCACAAATGTTCCTTAGGTGACGTAAGTGTGCACTAAGAAAGGATTTTTAATTCCACCCCTAAGGGTGAAAAATGCGGGCGGGAAATTTATATGAAACTTCGTTATTTTTGGTAGTAGCGTTTTCAAACTCACAGTGCCACTGCGAAGCGTGGCGGGGTAGAGCTAGTCTATAATACCAATAAAAAGTTAGAATAGTGTCAGGTCTACCATGTCACTTAAAAAGAATTTGGTTGGTTGGTGGCTGGTTTCATTTGGTTCTTGACCAAACAAACGTTGAATTATTACATTTTTTGATGGCAAAATATTTGCAGATAACGACCATATCTTACTGTTTACCATAGATAACCCGTTAGGGGTAATGAGGCGTCGGCCTCCTGCTGACTAGAGCAGTGTCTATAAAATGTTGTATATATATCATATGTTGAACTAAGTTTTGTCCGCGGCATCGCTAGCATTATTGTCAATTTTGTCCATTGTCCTTTCCCATTTATAATAGCGCATATTAAAATCAGTTGCAAATAGAATGAGTACAAAAACTCATGACCCGAAGGTCAATCCCCGTAATGAAAATTCGTTCAAAATGAAGTTCCGACTACTCTCGATCTCACAAACATCATAAAAGGTATTCTCTTAGTTCAAATTTTTATGACGAGAATTCACCTTCTGGTGCAACTTTTGACTTATAGCTTATTACGGTTATTTCCTTTCTGATAGCGATTAAATGTATGCATTTAATGATTCACTTGTATTCAAGAATACCGTGTCTACGTCGTGTCCACAATAACCACACCATAAGCGATAAGTGTTTAAGTTTATGAATCATTTTCTTTGACATCGTCTGCGTGTATTAAATTTCCTGTTTGAATGAATAAAGTTTATAATATTATAAAATTACCTATCTGCTCATATGGAACTGCTCAATCTTCATTTTGTTTAGTTAAAATCTGATTAAACTTTGTGGCCACTACGAA